AATTTCTTAAGGCTTAGGGCTTAAATCTCTATTGTAGACTGGGACTTATGCACTTGTGCAAAAGTGTGTGCTCCCCGCTTTACTATGTCTATGACCATAGAGAAGTCTGAGAGCGGCCACGCTGTAGGGTTAACTTTGAACCAATTTTCGCCACCAAAAGTGGATGTAAGAACTACGGAGACACATCCACTTATCGACACAGTCGATAAATATCACTTTTTGGTGCGTGTCTATGCTACATCCACTTTTCGACATTGTCTTAACATCCATGAATTGTGAATATAGCACAGATATACGCCAAAAAGCGATTTATCGACAATGTCGGAAAACGAATATATGGACCAAAAATTAAGTGATTTATTGACAATATCGAAAAGTGGATGTAGCATGGACACGCACCAAAATGTGATATTTATCGATACAGTCGATAAGTGGATGGTATCTTCGTAGTTCTTAGATCCACTTTTGGTGATGAAAATCGATCCCAAGTAAACCCTACGGTGTGATCGCTCTCGGGCTTCTCTCTGCCATGTCTATGGTTTCAGCAATGGGGAATCCCGACTGCCTTCTGTTTTCGCTTATCTCGAAAGATGAGACGACCATTGTTATCCATTGACTCGTCGCTGCTGATGTAGGAAAGACGCAATATCACGCTGATACGCAACGCTTTCTTCCTCCGATTGATATCGTGCAAGAACGTGCTGCATACCACCGCCCAAGATTAATTTCAGGTATATATAAAAACTTTATTTGCCGGCATTTCCGGAGAATTGAACTCCGAGACGGCAGCATAGTACGTACCACAAATTAGTACGTTTATCTTAATATATTTATTCCAATTCAGTTTATGTTCTGTTTATTCAATTTGTTAAGATAAACAAACTCGACACATCGAGCTATTACAGCCAATTTTTTTAATGCATCGTAAGACAACGCCCAACTGAGTCACAGCACACACACACCTTTATCTCCGTGCTTGGTTCGCAAGACGGTACGCACTGGTTTAAAAAGCTATTATCGTTGGTCGTTTATTGTATATTCTTGTCTATATAAATCTTAGTATTATCTTTTTATATCGTTACAGATATTTTGTGTTTCGCGAGAGAACAGCAGCCCAAGCTTGCCAAAATGCATAAATGTTTCTTTGAGCGACGTATAACGCATTATAATAGACAGTGGTATTGTTGTTTATGCGAGACCACGTTACAAAATTTTAAGGAGGCGCAACATCATTCGGAAAATGCTCACTCGACTATTGACACTCAAACGTCTTATTTCCTGAATAAATTTGATACATTAACAATCAAGAACTGCAAAATATTAATATATCACGGTATAGTAATAAGGGACATACAGCAAGATTTATACTTCTGTGTACATTGCCAATGTTTGATATCCACTTTACATAATTGTTACCAACATTTAAAGAAAAAAGCTCACCAAAAGTATATGAGCACCATATCAAAACATTCTACTAATGAACAACAAAACTTACAACACACTACAAATAAACAAAGCAATATTTGTGTTGATGTAAAAAATTCAACTGAAACAAACGTACAATCGATCTGTGAGAACAAGTTAAAAACAGATTCCTCAAATAATTCTGCACAAACAGCAAGTGGAACTATTGCAAGTGTACCTTATGCACTATTGCAGGAAGCTGAAACGTATAAACATTTCTTAATGCAACATACAGTACATTATGGACAATGGTACTGTTGTCTGTGTGAGTGTATGTTTCAAAGCTTGACCGATATGTTGTGTCATTCACAAGAAATTCATCCAGACATTGGTACTCAGATATCAAATTTTCGGGAGAAGTCTAACGAATCAATGAACGAAGGTCTAATTAGTCAAGAACTATCAAATCATGAAGTGGCAATGAAGAATATGCCACAAGATTACTTTTGCGTACCTTGTCAACGTTCTATACCTTCTTTAGATCATTTTCACCAGCATTCAATTGGAAAAATGCATAAACACGCGATCATATCTAATGAAAAATGTATAAATACTAATACTGCACCAGAAGAACCTGCAAATAAACGACAAGATGTGAATAACGATAAGATTGACGATAAAGATATTTCTGTCAATGCATCTAATGAAAATGATTCAATCGGAAGTCTTCCAAGCAACTTTAGAAAAGAAGAGAAAGGCGCAGTCTCCTTAAAGTCTTGCAACGAAAATACTATTACAGCGATACAGTTAAATAATACAAAATTTGATGGAACGTTATGGCCACAATATACATGCACAGAAACTGCGGCGGAGTATACTTGTGATCTATGCAATAAAAGGGTCGAAGAGAACGACATAATAAGTCATGAAATAATAGTACACCAAAGTGGCATGATGTGTTCTATGAGGTACATCCACGATTGGTTGCCTGCAATTAAAGATTTTAATGTCGCTATTCGTTATCCATTATTTAGATGCTCGTTCTGCAATGAGATAATACATGGTGTATTGGCATTGTCAGTACATTTTGTGAAACACGAGCATAAGGAAAATGTTGAATCGTTCATCAACATTAAAAGACGAGATTATGACAGTTGTAAAGACGTACAAATTAATGTTGAGCCTCTAGAATTTTTAAATATAATCTTTTTTGAGAATAATGGCGGGACTCTTCAAGTTAAAGAGCAACCTGTGATGCGCATTAAAAATCATTGTACAACTGGTTACAAAAATTCGATCAAGAAATTGATTTGTTTCGCCTGCTCATATAATGTTAAAAATACCCGCGACGTAATTAACCATTTATGTACAACATTGGAACATTTGGAGCACTTTAAAAGTATTTCTCTTACATACAATTATTTACTTGATATATCGATATCTAAAGAGCATAGTAGTAATGAAGCACGCGAGATAAAGTTTCTAACTTCTAGAGAAGATATATCAATTGACAATGGATCACTCCAAAAACATAATATTAACGAAACGCAAATAAATACAGAACAATGTAATAATCATAACTTGTTATCTACAGTAAATACCAATAATAAAAATGACGGATTGCGTCAAAATAAAGAAAAGACTTCTGGCTTTTTTACATCTTTTGATATATTCACGGAAATTAATACATCAATAAAACATATTAATTTACCACGAGCTGAAAACAATTCTGTAAAGAAGTTGAGTACAGAATTTAATAAAACGAACAATCTGAATCGTTATAATAAAATGTATAAATCAGAATTTCTGGATTTTGAGGAAATTATGTTTGCTTGTAATGAAAGGAAGCTGAAGGAGATGAAACAGAATCTGGAATTTTTTGTTCCCCATTTCGATATAATGCTTTGTCTTGTATGTAATGATCCACAGTTGTGCAACGCGCAGATGATATACGAGCATATAAATAGTGAAGAACACATTACACAATTTGTAAAACTACAGAAGAACAAGGAACACCTTGAACTGTTAAAGGAACTGATGCAACCTATAAATGTTAGATATGCCAGATGTTTCGCTTGCAATAAGGATGTACATGGAAGAAGTAATAATGCATCTAACAGTTTAGATTATAAGTACCATACACATTTTTCTTCGCATAAGAAAGCATTCCTTCGCATTCGTGAACAATTTCTTAATCAGACTGAGCGCATATTGGAAGAATTTCAAAATTTGTGGTACAACATCCAATACTTCGCTTGCGTCAAGTGTGACATGAGATTCAAACAGAAGATAAGTTTTCTGGAACATCTCGATAACGTACAACATAAAAGAGTCTTAAAGAACAAAGATAATTCGATGTTTGATTTCTGCTTAACGTGTGCCACTTTATGGTACAAGAATGAAAATTGCGCTAAAGACTTCTGTACAAGTTATCGAAAACACTGTCAGAAAGAAACACATCGATATTTACAAAAGAGTTACGGTTTTGCAGTTACATCTCTACCGCAGTCTCTGAAAAAATTATTGGAAAATGTCAATAAAACTGCTGCTATTCTATTTGAATCGTCGGACAATGTTTTAAAAAAGGATCATAAGGCGATTCAACTTACAAATGCTTTAAAGCACATTTTCAAGACTCACCGGTTGCCCGTGGAAGTATGTATGTCTGGTTCAAGGGTCACTGGCTTAGCATTGCCACACAGCGACATCGACATATATGTTAACTTCGGTATGTATAAATATTGTCTCTAATATTTATATATTATTATTATACATGTATATGATATTACCTAAACGTTTTAAAAAGCTTCAAACAAGAAACATAGATGGTTACAACAAATTGTTATATCATGAAAGAATTGTTACTATAATTTTCTAATACTTTTAAAGCACTTGAATCAATTTTATAATATATAAAATACAAGTTTATAAGAAAATTATTTGTAGAAGAAAGTTGTAATGTAAAACTTACAAATAAAAAATTTTTATTTGTATTAGGTGACCAATGTACCGAGCCTAAATTGATTAAAAGCAGGAGTAAACAAATTCGAGATTGTTTACGTGCGGACAATGACAATTGGGATATAATGTTAACTTTGGACAATAGCAGGACTCCCTTAATAAATGTAAAGCACAGATTGACAGGATTGCAGTGCGATATCTCATTTATGAATGGCCTGTCCGTGGAAAATTCCCTGTTTATTAAGTACGAACCGTTGTCGTATTTCTAAGGTGTTTAATAAAGTATATTTCTTAATAATTTATTAATTCTAGGTCTTTTAACATGGGGTATCCGCCTTGTCGAAAATTGACGCTGTTTCTGAAAAAGTGGCTCTCAATGGGACATTTGACTGGTTCAACTGGAATAAAAAATTACGCTCTTGTTTGGCTAGTCATCTTTTACCTGCAAATCAAATTTAAAGCGCCAAGTATTGCTACTTTGATCAAAAGCCACAATTGGTCAAAAATTACTTCTGGTAAGTATTAAAATTTTATGTAGCGATATATTGTAGCAGTATAATTTGACAATTCTGATTGAGGGAGATTTCATTTTTATTTATTGTTATTTTCTAGTAAATTGTAATTTCACACATATTCGTATTTTAGGATTGATACAATATTGATACATATCTTATTATATTTTAGAATGGAAAACCGGTGTTGCCAATACTATTCCTATCGATATACCCGAACTACCGATACATGAATTATTAATAGGATTCTTCGAATATTACGAAAGTTTCAATTACGCACGCTTCGTTGTATGTCCATTATTAGGCGAGACGTGCGAGAAGAGAACTTTTGCGGAAGTATCAACATTACCTAATTCTATGGAACATTATATTGCACAATTGAAGAACACGAAACGTGAATTTTTTCGGATTGACTCATCTATGTGCGTTCAAGATCCATTTGACCTCTCGCACAATTTAACGAAGGCTGTGCCAATTTTAACGCTCAAACGATTTAAACAGTATTGTAATGCAAGCTTATCAATATTACGTAATGTTTCGTTAAAGGAAAAAAAATTAAATAACATAGTTTTATAAGTTGCTTTAAGGGGATTAGGCCACCCTGAAAAAATTTTTTTGCCATTTTTTTTATTCGCTTAATTGATAGTCTTAAAAATGACATTTTATTGGTTTGTGCAGTGAATTGAACAATTAAGATATCACTTTCTATCGCTATAAAATATATAATAGATAAATTTGTTACAATTGTATATAGGGTTGCCAGATGCGAAATGACTATTTCCGGGACATTTTTAGGCCACGGCTGAAAAGTAGGTTGTTAGAGTATTTTAGTTAAGTTTTTAATGAATTAGCGACCCATGAGCATATATATATGTGTATATATACATATACCTAGAACCTTACATATTTAGGGATAAAATAAAACAAGTTTTTGTGAAAAAATATAATATTTATTGCTACAGAGTAGTATCGGGCGGACGGCTAAGAGGTGGAGAGGGTACCGCTGTGCACTGGCAATGGCCAAATACATTAATTGGGTATCACTTAGAGACATGAATGTTATGATTTTGTTGAAATTCTGATTTTCCGGAACAGAAGACATCAATTACTGGACACGGGGCAAGCTTAAGAATTCCGGGACTTTCCCGGAAATCCCGGCCATCTGGCAACCCTAATTGTATATAAGTCTAATTACGTCATATACTTTAGTACTTTTTACTTTGTAACTTTATTTCTTATATTTAATCAATATGCATTTATACGAATGTTTTCGTACATTTAAATTAATATAACAATCGATACTTGGATTGTTAACATAAGATGTGATTTAAGAAGCACGCACGCACACACATTAGAAAGAAATTCTAATTTTATATACGCGCGCGCACGAGCATGAGAAAAAGAAAGAAATTAAGGCAATTAACATGTTCATTCGGTTTAGCAGCGCTAAGAATTTTGAATAAAATATTTGTATAAATGTCTCTACTTAATATATTTTTTAAATCTGTGTTTACAAAGACATTCCATGGTTTTAATACACCCTGTATATGACGTACGTTACATTTACGCCAAAGCTTGTGCGCTATCTACGTCTACGACTTACCTCTTGCCGTAAGCGTAAGCTATTACGTTGCTTTGTGCTCCGACCCGAAATTAGAAAATTCTCGGTTTGATCACAGTCTTCGTTCCATATTTATATCGTGTATTTATATTGTGGTTAAGTTAAACATGCCGATCTCGTGCTGCGTTAAGCACTGTAAAAGCAAGTGGACAGCAGGATGTGGAATAAGTTTTTTTAGGTAAGTTATATGCTGTAGCTACTAGAATAAGGTTATATTATGTTCTGTGTATACATATATGCGTGTGTTGGGTGTGCGTAATGACATAGATATAATTACACTATTTATTTCTAATAATTCTGTTTTACTATGATTATATTGTGATATATGACACATTGTTTACAGATTCCCAAAGAAAGATGAGCAGCGGCTGCAACTGTGGATAGTAGCAGTTGGTAGAGGCCCAACGTGGAAACCAACAGCAAATAGTAAAATATGCAGTTTGCATTTTTCAAGTTCCGACATAATTTCCGATTTCGGATATAAAAGCAAGGAAGTGAGGTCTACAGCAGTCCCGTCGCTTGCAGTGTGTACTGACGTAGATGAAGAAAACATGCCAAATGTAATGAAGTTACAGATTCAAGAAATTAACAACGTCTCAGTGTTTCCTCGACCGTATCTGGCATTTTTAATAATGCAGAAAATTTCTTGCGAAAAATATTACCTCAGCCAGGGTGTTTGAACCTGGACCTCCCTACACTCTAGGCGGGCGTCTCGCCAATTCGACCACACCTCAGTGCCAGATATGGTCAAGTAAACACTGACGTTGTTAATTACTACTGGCGACATTGAAGAATATTCTTATTAGTCCAGAAATTCAGCTATAGATTCAAAAATTACAATTATCACTTTATTTACAGGCTCTGGAAAAAAGCGCAAAAGCTTCTGAAATAGTTTCTAAACAAGTTTCTGATCAAAACGCAAATAGTGGTCCAATGGTCGTTGAACAGGTTATTCCTGAACAATACTTAACATGCCAAATGGAAATCTCTTCGGATGAAATTCCTACAACAGACAATCTGCCAAAGGAAATAGAAGCTCTTCACGAAAAAGTTAGCAGACTTTTGCGTCAAGTGAAAACTTTAAAACAAACACTAAGGAGACGCGATCATAAAATAAAGAATATGACGGAGTTATTTAAAACTTTACAAAAAGAGAATTTAATTGACAAACATTCTCTAATGACACTGAAGAATCGATTTGAAGGTAGTGATTGTGAATTATTTGCACAATCACTACCTTCGAACCAATTGAAAAACAAAAATCGAAAAGATTGTGACCATCAATATTCTCATGAATTGAAATAATTTGTTCTTCTGTGCGCTATTACAATTGGAAACAAATAACTTTAAAACATTGAACATAGCCTAGACATAAAGATAATTCTACACGTGAAAAAGTAATTTTGCTCTTGACAAAACTATATGTGAAAATCTTCAATGTAACGTCCCAAGGAGAAATAAAAAGACAAGGTAACGTCAAGTTGATATTAACTAAATTATATCATATTTTAGTGAATATGACATCAAATTGACGCTATTTTGACTTTCCATTTTTTCCTGAGGTTGACCCGTTAGAAATACCGCATAAAATTAAACTTATTATGGCGGTTGTGCGAAAGTATTTTTGACCGTTTGACTTTTTTCATTTGGAAAATTTTATTCCAACGAAATTGCAATGCTTATACGTAAACGGCACGTGAAACAAAACAAATTTTTTCTACAATCAATAATACAGAAAAGCTAGTTTGATTTTTATTATCTACTTCATTTAGACTTTTAAAGTTTGAAAAATACAAGCTGTATCTCGTTTGTTGCTGTCGGTTCCAACTACTGATGTCCATGTCTCATCGGTAGTTATTAAATAAAGTATAGTGTTATTGATTGAAGAAAGCAATTATATATACAAGGTGTCAGTGAATGTTTGGGACTTATTTTTCATGTAGATAGAGCGGACCAAACTGAGTCTATTGCCTATCGTCTATTGCCTGTTGTAAGCGCGCGGCGAGATGTGGCCGGCCCGCGACCGACATTGCTAGGCACGCCGAGTATTGTTTATTATATGTAGCTGTTGCCGTTTTTAATAAACCATTTTCGCGCGCCTAGTAACGTTCCAGCGCGGGCCGGCCGCATCTCGTCGCGCGCTTGCACTGGGAGGCAGGCTAGGCTAAGACGTCGATTTTTTTTTACAATTAATAACTGTAACTATTGCGAAAATTACAAAATGATACAGGATTTTTCGGTTCAGTTTGGTCTGCTCTATCTACAAAAAAAGTCCCACATATTCACTGACACCCTGTATACATGTATACCACATATGTATGTATATGTATATACTATATTATAATTATATTAATTGTAAATATTACTCATACGTACACATTTGTTTTTATTTTCTATCTTACATTTTATATTCTATACATATATTATTATTAATGCTAAAAATTCATCTATTAATTAACAATAATAAAAAATAAATTATAATATATCTACATTATACATTGTTATCATTATTAATAACTCCTGCTATGCACAATCTTTAAGTAAACATTCTTTTACATACATATAGTACAGCCCTATCATTAATGTAATACTTACTGTTCCAGTTCAACCTAATTTACTTTTAACCCTTTGAAGCACAGTGGTAACTCACGTTACCACCTCAACTTCTTTACTTCTTAGCTATTTAATGTATAGTTAACGCATTTAGGTTGAGTTTTTGCATTTTTTTGATATCTTAGCAGTAAAACAAACTGTTGCGAGTGAATGATTCGGTAGTTACCGAACACCCTGTACGTCTTGTCTTCACTTCAACTATCGCTGACCGCAAGAGCTAGCGTTCCAACTTTGCTACGCTTGCTATAGCTTTCAAGACGATACCCATAAAATATTTACTGAAGATTGTGATACCTGATCGAAGAAGGTAGTACTGCGTATAGATCTGTTCTTTGTAGTTTCTACACTATGTTGAACATTCTGCATTTGAGATTAAATGACGAGTAACAACTTGGATAGCCAAATCTATGGACACCAAAGAGCGACTCCAAAAATCTCCATTTTCTGATCCCGCGATACTGAAACTGAAACGTACGCCAGACGATATCTTATGATAAGACCTCAATTACAAAATGTTTAAGTTGAGGTGAGAATTTTCTAGAGATATGGAGGGTCAAAGTGGCGAAATTGAATAATGTGTCAGCTCATACGCTTTGAAGCACGAATTGATATTTCCGTCCAAATTTTTAAGACTTCACATCCAGAAGTTCTATTGACCGACTATTGAAGTCAGATTTTGGAGATTCAAAATGGTTGATTTTAAATGTTTTAATTTCTCCAAGAAATATTTAAATGAAATATCTAGGTCTTTCTACAATCAATAATACAGAAAAGCTAGTTTGATTTTTATCATCTCATTCATTTAGACTTTTAAAGTTTGACCAATACAAGCTGTATTTTATTTGTTGCTGTTGGCTCCAACTACTGATGTCCGTGTCTCATCGGTAGTTATTAAATAAAGTATAGTGTTATTGATTGAAGAAAAAAAGTATATATACAAAGTGTTAGTGAATGTTGGGACTTATTTTTCATGTAGATAGAGCGGACCAAACTGAGTCTATTGCCTGTCGTTTATTGCCTATTGTAAGCGCGCGGCGAGGTGTTATATAACATTTACATTATTGAATAGGACATTATAATATCGATGTTACGTAACTGTTACTTGGTGTTTACTGGGTAATGTAATCTATTATTTTAATTTTCATAATTGAACGGTATTTTGTCGACGTTCTTCATTTTGAAAGTTTTATAAGAACTAAGAAAACTTTCTCAAGCGTAATTAGGCTCGAATTTTTTTTGTCACTTTGTGGGCCAAAAGTGAAAATAACCCAAATGGAATCTGATACCCAATTTCAATAAATTCAACGCCGACTTTTTAAAGCTGTGGTTCAAAGGTCAATGTAAAGTATCAAAATTAATTTTTTTGCTATGAATTTTTGAGACTGAACTTTCCGAGAAATTCACGGGGCAAACAAGTCAATTTTTCGGTGAGCGAGAAACCGGTTTTCACCGAGTTTTCCTCAAAGTTTCTAAAGTTTCACCGCTCCTTTGATCCCGTACTCGACATCGATCGCCGCGACGAAACGTTAATTCGAACGTACTGTTCAACGTGTCGCAGTTACAAAATGTTTTTCGAATCGTAATACACCAGCGAGTTACTCTCCGCTCTTCCATGGTGTTTCTATTTATTCCGTCTCGTATCGAACCGGTGCGCGTTAGGTGGGAAAAACCGTGCGGCGGGAGCCTCTAGACCCGTACCGTGTAAAGACGTAAATATACGTCCGCAGGGCGAGGGGGGGTGGGGAGGGCCGGGGGGCCAAGCGACCACAGGCGACCCGAGGGTCAGGCGTGCAGACGCATCAAGGTGCCTGTATTTGCCTGCGACCTCGACCCGCGACGGCGCGCCGTGGGATACAACACGGTCATACGCGGTGCACAGTGGCGCACGGTGCACGCCGCACACCGCGTCGGGCCTACGTTCACGTTGGTCGTACGGCGTCGCGTTCGGTATTTTTCCGATCCTTCGCTCCGCGACCCGCGACCAGCGGATCAGCCAGCTCGCGATCTCCCACGACCGACGACGACGACGGCCGCATCGTCCGGCGTCCGGAATCGCCGGGCGATTCCGTCATTGCGTGTTGTTGCACTTGCGCGCTCGCGCCCACAGGTCCCCGTCATGTCGCCCGCGAGATAATGCCGTGGTCACTTCTCGTCGGTCGTGCTCGAACGCCGGACGAGGACGAGGACGAGAGCGAGAGCGACGAGGTTAGGCGCGCGCGATTTATATCAATCTCCGATCGACGTGTCGGACGCGAACGCAAATGGCGGCCGCTGTCGAAGAGGACGTGTCCGCGCTCGGCGAGCGGGTCGACGAGCTGAGCGTCTCCGCGGCGGAGGACGAGACGGCGACGACGACGACAACGACGACAACGGCGACGGCAAGGAGGGCCGATGGCAACGACGCGGATGTCACAGCGAGATGCGAACCGCGGCTCTGGGGCTTCGAGACGCGAGAGCTTTACAAGCTCGCGCACAACTTTTACAAAGGTAAGCGGGCTCGGGGTTGACGCGCAACACCTCGGCCGCTTCGATCGCCCCGGCGCAACGCGAAACCGCACTTCGCATTTACTTAGATCGTAGATCAAGTCCAACTACTTTCGTTAAAGATTCTTTATGCAGAAATTTTGTATGTGTGTATGTCGTATGTATATTCTTTGTTTTAAATCAAATAATGAAGTATATCGTTCACACCGTCAAACGTGAAATAAGGATTTTGTACATTTTTATAAAATATCGGCTCGTTATATCTGTAGGTTACAACTTGTGATTGAATTTCACGCCGACTGCTGCTTCGACCATTCGCCACTGTTTCTTTGAACGTCTATGAGTTCCGGCTGTTTTAGAATATTAAGAATCTTTTGCCGTTTGTGTAAGGGGGCAAAGTACAACTGCTGATGGCAGAGATAGTCCAGGGACAAGCAAATGTTACAACACAAACAACCTAGGGCGATGTTTAAATGATTGGTATTGGCGCGAGGACATGCGCGACACATAAAATGCGAGGTGACTGGCAAGAGGCACGAAAGGACGGAGAGTTTGTTATGAGCCAGTGTGATAGAAGGTTGAATTTCGAGTCTGAGTGTTGTGTAAAAGTAGACGAGGAACTGTCTGGACGAGGGACTGTTGGAGAAATTGATTGTTAATTAACAAGTTAGCTTGTGCGTTTGCTTGAGCTGATATTATTTGCGGACGGCGAACAATTTATCTCGATACCTTTGTATGTGTCAATCGGACCGAGTTCACTTTGAACTTTCATATGACTTTTCCCTGAATTGAAGAGTTTGCTTTATTTAAGTTTACGCCCTAATTCAATCTACTTCTATAAACCTGACACAAGTGTTTTTCTTATTTTATATATCGTACTTTGCCACTGTTGATTTTTACAACGAAGGAAGACGAATGAATTCAGACAGAGACTTCATTTTAAATGTTATATATTAAAGCTAGTAATACAACTAAAGCTTCTTTCATTTGTCCAGTAACAGCCAATTTTAAATGCTATATTTTGTAACTGTATAAATTTTTGCGAGCACTTTATGATTTATTAAATGCATTTGTAAAAGTTTTTATATGAAATAACGTATATGACTTTCTATGTACAAGTTTGTATACGTATAAAATGTGCATGCAACAATAATCAGTTGTCACAACAATGTTTTATCTTGATAAATGGAATACGACTCTGCTGTAAATATCGACAGATGTAAATATATTCAAGCGTTAAAAGAATATGCATATCTTAATACTGTAAATTTAAGATGTGTGAAGTAAATAAGTTACATTTAAGATGTATCGACGAAACTGTTGCTGAAAGATTTCATTTTATTTCATTTAGAGAAAGAGGGCAAAGCTGTCCATCTGTCTTACGAGGATAAACTGAAACTAGTGGCGTTCACGCAACAAGTAACGCATGGAAAGTGCACAGCCGAGAATGCATCGCCGTTAGGCGTCCTGGACATGATCGGAAGGGACAGGCGTTTGGCATGGCAAAATTTGGGCGATATATCGAAGGAGCAGGCGATGGAAGGGTTCATAGTATTACTGGACAAACTTTGTCCTTTATTCAGAACTGTAGTCGAGGCACAAAAACGGGATTTCGAAGAGAAGCAACGTCTCAAGCGAGAGGAAGAGGCGAAAAGGCTGGAGGAAGAAAAGAAATTGAAGGAACTAGAGGAGGAGAGGAAGAAGCAAGAAGAGGAGCGACTGAAGGAGGAAACTCAGAGGAGGCAGATTCAAGATGCTTTGAATCAGCAAACGTATTATCAGTTTAAAGTATACGCCGAGCAGCAGTACCCTGGCAATCCAGAGCAGCAGGGCGTCTTGATCAGGCAATTGCAGGAGCAACATTATCATCAGTACATGCAGCAACTTCACCAAAACCAGCTGGTTATCGAAGACCAGACCGAGAAGGAAGAGGAGGAGGAGGAAAAGGAAAAGAAGACGAAGAAGAAGAGCATCCAATCGGAGAGTGCAACGTGCAAAAACGACGACGACAACGACGACGACGACGACAATGACGAAGGCAACAATAAAGATAACACGAATGAAAATGTGGATGATGATGATTCGGAGTTTGAGGACTGGCCGCCCATCACTCCCGCAGAGATGTGGACGAGGAAAGGCGTGGAGGAATTTAAGCAGACCATCAGAAGGGAAACGGGCGACGCGGTCATCAAGGTCGGCCACGGCGAGACTGTCACGGTGCGAGTACCGACGCACGAGGATGGTACGTGCCTGTTCTGGGAATTTGCGACGGACGGTTACGACATTGGCTTTGGGGTTTACTTCGAATGGTCCAAACCGGAGACGAATCAGGTATCCGTGTACATAAGCGAATCCGAAGAGGACGACGACGAGGAAGAATACGAACAGCGGGAGGACCTGGAGAGTGGAGCGGTGAACGGTAACGCTCGACCTGAACGTAGAACGGCCACTCCGCCTATAAGTGTCATAGTACCTGTGAGTATTCAAATAACATTTGCATTCATTTGCGAATTAAATTGCAACTGTATATTAAATAATTATTAAATACATTTAATAATTATTGTTTTAATACAATTAATATTTCTTTATACGTCACTGAAAAGAATCACATTAGCTGATCGAAACGTTTGACCATTGTGAATGTTATTTATACATTAAACTTTCGTATTCCGCATCCAACATCCTGCGTCGGCTCTTGCTGCCTTCCTTAATTTTGTTTATTTGAATTAAATTGCATAATTTAAATTTAAGTTGCACAAGAGTTTTATGCTAATATGTTATTTCTTTTAATCGTTTAAAGGTATATAGGAGAGACTCTCAGGAGGAGATTTATGCTGGAAGTCATCAATACCCGGGCGAGGTAAAAGCATAAGAAACTTTTCTGCGGTATATTATTTAATCGCACGTGTGTGTGTGCACGTGCATACGTGTTTCGCCGAGGATAATTAATTATTTATCGCCGTTACTGTTCTGCTTGCAGGGAGTATATCTTCTAAAGTTCGACAACTCGTATTCGCTTTGGCGGAGTAAAACGCTTTACTACCGAGTGTACTACACGCGGCAGGGTTTCACGAAGAATAATAATTAGTCTTTACGTTACATATCGCGACGATATGTATGAGTGTATGTTGTTTGTTGAGCACTAGCCTGGATATAACCGTCTACTGATAACGCTAGTCCAACTGAATAAAGAGTCCTATCTGTCCTATCTGTTTGGTTCGCGCAAAAGCGACGAAACTGTTCACATACAAAGAAAATATATTTATTATATAGTTAAGTATGTAAGAAGACGGTACGTTCTAAAGTGGCAAAAGTGTGTGCGCGGGGAGAAAACGGATTCTAAACTGTCCTCGAAAGGCGAGAACCCCCGTGAGGCGTGTGCGTCGTATGTAAATTGACGGATCGGCTCTTTTATGTGCATAATATTGCACACCTGCGGCGGCTCTCGCATTACACCATCCCTCGACGCAGGCGGCATCGTCCCTTCGCGATTTCCGACGAAATTTTCGAAACGTTCTTATACGGCGCGCAAATCTTTATATACATAAACGATGATCTCCGTTTTAAAGCGAAGGATTAAGTGTATACACGCACGTTGTATATCTGTATTATCTATGTGAATACTGGCTTGTGGAATGTTTTTTGCAACTCGATGTTATACAGACTTTTATCACCTGGCTGAATTCTTGTCATAGCTTTTATTAAAATCATCTTATTTTTCTTTAAATACAGCAGCAGAGTACAGTGCGCATTTCGTGTTTTATTCGCATTGTATCGACAAAGCTCGTCCCCTTTTCTTCCATTTTTTGGTAACATTTATTACTCTATGTAGCCATATTGTTTTTACAGCAATATCGTGCCATTTATATTATCCATGATTGATAATGGTAATGATAATAATAATAATACTAATGAGAATAGTATATATCCTGTTACACATCCAACTACAGACGACTTACACTAACGGGTATGCGTGCGTGTTTGCGCTCTTATCGTATTTCCATTTTATCACGTGTTTAGCTTCGACCTATAATGACATTTAATTAGAAGAGCACTTTTTTGAGACGGCATGAGTTTTGTATCGTTAATTTGTTTGAAGACAGCAAAATCGATTTCCGTTATGCGCGCCCTACACGTTTACCTGGATTGTCCGCGAGTGATTAAACAAGCACCAATTAAACGACGGAATTACCAATTAGCTTGATTATACTTGGTTCGTAACGCGACAGCTATACGTATGTAATGTACACACTCGTGTAACAGCCTACTCAACAAGCGTACTCCCTCTACTCGGCCCCCAATTGCGTCAAGTGCTTCGCTAAAAAAATATGGGCTTCGTTGTACGAACATTCTCGGTAAGAAAGCTACTCGACGCCTTTTCCTCGTTTTTCCCTCGACTCCTTTTGCCCCTGGATCGTACGGCGGACATCGTTTGCTCGAGTACGCAGATCGATCTTGATTTTCTGAAACCTTGGCTCGCGAACGTGTCGTCGCGTTTTTGACAAGGAAAATTTTCAAGCGGTTCGCTCGCTACACGTGATATTGGCAGTCGACGAATCCCAAAGTTTTACCTCCAACTTCCTCACTCGGAATTTTTAAGCTCCCGTTTTCCGCGTCTACCATTGTCGCCTGAAGATCGCCTAAACGCGACAGTACAAATAACGATCTTCGAATATACGCTACGCCGGGAACTAAACGCTATTTCCTCGTCAGACTCGTGGTCCTGAGATTCTCGTCGCGGCCTGAGGCCGTCAGGTGTGTGTTCGGGCTCTCCACCTAGTTTCAGCCTCGAGAATCGGACGTATAAATCGTGATTATAGAAATCACTTTGGAACATTTCTAGAAAATTTTCAGGTACGTACCGATCTTGTTTTTTTGGACACGTGTGCTTAGAATACCGAGTGTAAATTCGAGTCCAAAGTCTCTCGATACTTTTGACTTCTTTTTAATTGTTTTTATATATCACATTTGATCGTCGTGTCTTTAATCAGTGTCTCGGGCTGAAACAATCCGGTAAAAAATTTTTCATATAGAAACATATATAAATTATATGTAAAATATGTTCATATATGTTTTTTTCTGCAACATGTTAATAGTATATGCTGGCAGATTTGCAGCAAATTTAATTCCACAACAAAACCAAAGCCATTTGTATCCGTATTAAGCTTGTATTCTATCCCCGGTAAAAAATGTTTCATGCATGAGCATGCATAAATTTACAGTATTATATAAAATTATACATCCAATATATCTATACATATTTTTACATTGTATATTTCTATATAATTTTATAGATTTATACATGCTTCTATATGTGTAAAGAATTTTTTAAAAAATTGCTTATTTATAATTACCTATAACTTTGTAGAATTGTATACAATTATATGTATATAATTATAATAAGCAATTTTTCACATTAAAAAATGCTTCATATAAAAGCACGTATAAATCTATAAAATTACACAGAACTGTATAGAATTATATAAAATTATATAGAAATATACAATATAAAAATGTGGACATATTTTTTATGTACAATTTTATATATTTATTCATGTACACGCATGAAAAATGTTTTACCGGGTCGACAGAGCCTGCTGACATGATTTGAACATACAATAGTTAAGATAATTATTAATCAATAATTAAAATAGTAACAAAATTGTCAATTTTTTTACGATAGATTGACGGTAAATCTCAACGAACATACAGGGGTATTCGAAAAGAATACACTTTCACAGAAAATGACTCGAATAAAAGTGGCAGGGGTCATGAAGTACTATCTTTTTAGTGACCATGAAATTGTCCTTGAACTTGACCTTGATGTTATGTAACTATTGGTTGATTTCTGAAAATTTGTCGGTTGAATTTCCGAACACCCTGTATATTCCATTCCACGATAGAAATTATGCAAAAGAATGAAAAATACATATGACATACTTTATATATAATTATATATTGTATATTTTTGTCTGAAAAATTTTTTACTTGTGATTAAGTTATCACTATTCGTCGTGACGCATCATTCGAGTCTTTAACGCGGACGTAATATCTACACAGGGTGTCCCAAGCCTCTTTCAAATCGATCGCGGGTGTAAATAAAAGAATGCGCCTAAGGACACTCTGTGTATCTATAAAGCAGCCTCGAAGCAATGATTTAAGGGCGGCTTTGAGAAAATTTTGATTAATGTAATCGCTGATTACCGCTTGGTCAATAATGCCGGTAATAATGTAAAATTGTCAATTTTTGTTGTTCGTACATGGAAAAAATAGGGGAAATAAATAAATTCGTAGAATTACGGAAATTTTGTCGGACACAATTCCTCGTTGATTAGATTAATTGCCGATCAAGTTAACAATAAGTTTAATCGAAGTTGCTTTAAAACTCTAGACTCGCGTTAATTCCTGCACGACGCTGCTCTTTTTTTTTAGCCTTAAGATTACAAATTCAAAGTATACGTATAAACACGACGAAGGCATATGTCGGTAAAACATGTGCGTGCATGCGCGCGCGCGTGTATGTATGTGTCTGTGTGTGTGTGTTTTTGTGCGTGTGTGTTGAGCATGTGCTGCGCGCCGACTTTTTGCAATTGAACGTATGTATTTATCAAAAACTCGGCGCGTCCTCCTGGTCACCACGTGCGCTCGCACTTGACATTAATAACCGCGTGCAGTTACTTGAGCTATCGCTTAACGGGTTACTTAGTTCAGATTTACCCTTGCTTTATCCTATCCGTAGAAAAATGCGCAACTTAGAATCGCTCGACGGATCTACACTTGTCTACGCGTAAAATAGTTTTACAATGAACGGACAACCGCGAGAAAAGTAGACGTCTCGAAAAGAATTGCCAGTAAAATTCGTTCTACGATATCGAGCTCTTTATCTTAAGCCTCTCGGACTTTAAATAACCAAATTTTTTTCTCAATACGAAATAATTAAGCCAATACGGTCCGAGCAGAATGTAGGTGGCCTAAAAGTTAATTGTGTGAAATTTTTCCCTCGGTATTATTGTCTCTTTTACGAGCATTATATTGCTAAATTTAAAAAATTTAACTTTTCTTTTTTAACTTTTGTTTGATAAACTTTTCGAAAAAAAAGAAAAAATTGTAATTTCCCAGAACGAATTTTCGTTAACCCTTATCGTTTTATCTATTTTCCATAAGCTGTGCGTGGCATAGCATGTACGCGAACTTAAATACAAGTTGTAACAAGTAGTAACAATTAGTGGAGTCTTCGAATCGTCGTTTATATTTAAATGTGACAACAAAGACGCGTGAGAAAACTGAAAATATGAATATCGCTACGTATCCAGTATGCTCTTAGCTGCCAGAATTTTAGTTTATACCCACTTGCAAAGTTAAATATAAACGAACAACTCGAAGAGATACAAATATTATTAACTAATTTTTATGATTCTAATAAACTGTTACAATTAATTAATAAAAGAGTACGTAACAACATGGAACATTGAATTCCTTCAAAATCGTATGCCAAATCGGAACATATTTAATACGAATAAATCAGCCGTATTCGTTTGAAATATATACAAAATATTCCTAAATCATGTAATATTTATAAAAAATATAGGTAATACATTTAAACCTAAAACTTCATTAAACGATAATCTAAGAATCATCAATAAACGGTAATTTAAGAAAAAAAAAAACATTACTTACGGCTGCAACTCGTGACAGCTCGCGTACGTAATTGACTCTTGACATTTTGTAACAGCGTATATGCCTAATTGTAAATTGCGCGTAACTTTCAAATTGGCTTGGCTAAAATAGCGAGGCACATTATCCCGAAAAATTAATTGTACATGAACTCACTCCCGAAATGCTATATCGTCGCTTTGTTTGGCGCGCCCTGCCCGGCAATCTAGTTTCTATATGCTTTAGTTATTACTATATTACGCTCCGTATTATCAGCGTGCATTTAACGTTAAATGTAATTATATCTGATGAAACGTAGTTCAACTTAAAATTTCAAAGTTAAGAGAGCGAGACGGGCAGGGGGAAGAGACAAAGGGGCGAATGAAGAGACAATAAAAAGAAAAGACGAGACGGAACAATTTGAAGAGGAAGAAGAGGATGAGTAGAAAGAGAGAGGAAGGGGGAGCGAAAGAAGGAGAGAGGGAGAGGAAGATTGACATCCGGAGGACAGAAAACATTAATATACTGAATAGAGATAATATGAGCAAATTAAATTAAGTTTTGAATAAATTTAGGATAAGTTTAAATTAAACTAGATGTACGAACATACGTAATTGTAACCCTAAGGAAGACAATGAATACATACATATTATTTTTATATTTAATTTTAATAAAATTTACTATGTTTTATCACTTTTTTCTTATTTCAAAATTAAAATTAAGTATGCTATCAAAACTTTTCTCAAATGGAATGTATTGCGAAAATGAGGTATACTAAGATTTTTGTGATTAAACGTTACATTCGTTGTCTTGCGAAAAAAATTGTAAATTGAATCATTAAGTGTCTCGACGGTCACAAACCCCCGTTTACTTGTCTCTGTACTTCTTAGTTTCAGATTTTGCTCAAATTTATAACACGAAAGTTCTTTTTAGAGAGATTACCGAATATATAAATCAATGTTAAAATTAAAAAGCCATGGTGGATACGTAAATTGTTTTCAACAAATTCATTTTCCATCTTTCTGGTCTCCAATAATGATGATTATGATATAAATCTAGTAAAGTCATTATTAATCCTAATTTATGAATTTCTTAAAATTATATAATTTTAGTAATACATTTAGGGACTTCCGATTCGACATTGCTTCGACATCGATCGACGAGTCATTTCTCGCTGGGAATGGCATATAAAATTATTAATAAAATTTTATCCTGCATTCTGATATGAATCATAGATTAAAATTGGCTGGAGTTCTGAAATGATGATAGTTGGTATTTAACGCTGAATGCACGTGTACACGATCATTTTTCAAACTTCTTCGATGACCGATTGTCAAATTCCTAAAATGCGTGTAATATCATGGTCCTCTTTCGAGAGTGCCTTTAAGCGAAGGCGCTAGGGGCAATAGCCCGCATTCCTTTGAAAAATTGCATGACCCGTTTGCGTATCTGGTTAATTCGTGAAGTAGTAGGACGGATACTTACGATACAAGTAGCATGGAACAAAGGAGTAACGATTTAAGGCTGAGTCATGCCGACAGTTCGGTTTACCTAAATCCTCAGTGACTCCTTGTTCTAATTAGATTATAGTCCCATTTATAATATTGTAGACAGGGAAGGAAAACTAGCAATCTTATCTAATAGTGAGTTGCATCAATGCAACGATCTGGATCAATTAACTTCCGAGTTAACAATCTGCTGTTCCTTTCTGAAGCACATGCCTATTCATCAAGATACTCTTGAGATCATACATTGTAGACTCTGCAATATTGTTGCGCGAGGTCGAGACCGTTTTGTTTTATAGAATTATCCAGGTATCAATAGTTTCTGATGTTGTTATATTGCATCGTTTTGTAAACTCAGGAATTGTGATAAGATGGAAAGATATTTTTCACTCCACATTTAAGTATCGTAATTTCACGGCAATTTAGAGAAACATTTATACAGCAGAGGCATTAACCGTAGCCACGTCTAATCGAGACCGATGCAATTGACATCCCGAGAATCGCGCTCGTTACAATGACGTCTCGATGCTGAAATTTGTCCGTTTGGCGTTCTCCATTCTATAATCTTCCACCCTGCCTGTAAAGCTTCTCCGGAAGTTCCTGTCGAGACGGGCAACCTTCGGACGTCTCTCGGTGAGCGATCTGGTCAAACCGGCTGCCTGGCGTCTTCTATGCGACAAGTACCTTGAATTAGTCGGATGACTCTCGCGAGATCTGTCGTCGTACTCATTCGAGCTTGTCGACCATCTGTTCGCGCGCTCGGAGGAACGCATCCCGTCGTAGGAAGGAAACGAGACGTCGCTCCGATACATTCGCGGTGTCTCCTCCGCTCTAGTGGAAGTGCCCATTGGCTCGAGCGGGTGTCGGTTATGTAAAAGATACTGGAGCTCTCTTTCATGCCAGTACGGAGGATGCATAACATGTGGCAACGGATACGCGGTGCTGTCGGGCCGGAATGGACTCCTAGTGTAATCGGTCGGAAGGCATCTTGCATCTCGAGCGGCAAGAGATCGGTTTGACCGAGAGAGCATCGCCGAATCGCTCGCAGGATCGCCGTCTCTAGTGCGATCTCTCAAATTTCTTACGGGCACGATGTCCTTGCCGCCGAACGGATCACCAGGGAAGATTTCTTGTATCGGACTGGCGAAAATGAGCGTTCTACAAAGATAATATTGATTGTTCCACACGCTCAAGTATACCGTGGAGTTATAGCAATTGATAATTATTTTATAACTTAGAAATAGGACAAGCGACAATATCACAATAGTCTAGAACCAATTCGAGTCTTTTTGGGATATGTTGTTAAACACAAAACTCTTGAAGATACATGTTATATTTTTCCATACTTTATATTTTAAGGTTTAAAGGGGTGAGACAATCCCTTAATTCTCACTCAGGTTGTATGGGCCTTTGATTTTTATCATACGAGCCAGTGTTATTTATTTTATCTGAAAAATTTTCTGTATGTCTTACTGTTTCGACGGGTTAGAAATAAATAGGAGAAGTGCATAGAAATAAATATGAATATTATTTGAGATTGTTTCACACCCTTTAACTCTAAAATGGGCACGTGCAAGAAAATACGTGACTCTTAGATTTCTGTGTTTTATGATATTCCTTGTGGGTAAATGTCGCATTGAGATATTGCGCGATATTCCTCGTCCTATTTGTAAGCAGTAATTGCCGTAACTCCGAGTCAAACGTTGTGAATGTTAATTCTCAATTTGACGAAACATTAAATAGCGGAATTAAAAATTATCCTATAATAAAAAAGAGACATGAGGTAAAAGCATGAAATTAAAAAAAATATTTAAGATATAAAAAGATATGAAAAAAACTTTTCTATTTTTCTCTTACTTTAAACAGTATTTTGACTTTATAAAATGTGAATACTTAGAATAATAAATCAGGAAGAGATAAGGAATACAGAATAATTTTGTACGGCACATCGCCAAATTGAGAATTAACAATAATTATGAGATGATTACCAATTAATAACAATACAGCCATAACACACCGCAATACAGCCATAATACGTCATTATGTGGCGAGTAAGCAGAAACAAAGCATAGCATAATTATTAATAAGCAGTAAATAATATCAGCAACAATAATCGATAAAGCTTGCTTGGGACTATCGCAAAGGATATGCCTAGAAAGATAGCCGATCATTCAAAATACAATATAATAAAAGCAGGATTACAATAAGACTCACCTAGTGCTTTCCCGTTTCTGATCATAATTGTGATACATTTTATCTCTTCCCGACATAAACTCCTCAAAGGACGGCATCCTCCTCCTGGGATTCAATCTTTCCCTCGAGCGCGAACGGTCAGCCGTTTTATCAATGTGAATATCGCGATCGCTCTTCTCGCCTCTGCCGGAACTGTCAGGGTATTCATGACCACGGTTGTCTTGCTCGGCAAGATTTTGAAATTCGTCCGCGGTCACCAACGTATAACTGCGCCTGTTTTGCTTCAGGATCGACTTTAAGCAAAAATACGTCTTTGAATTGGGGAGTTTCCAGCAGGCTTCATTTGACATAGGATTCACCACGATCCTGCTACGAGGTTCAGTTTTCGGAATAGCGCCCATGTTTCTCGGGGAAACGCTCGTCTCGTCGAGGGAGAGGGAACGATGATGAGTCAAAGAAGGCGGAAGAGAGGCCGGAAATTTCCTGTGGCGTTCGGGTGGATGCGACCTTTCGTGCGGAAGATTCATCTCTATTTTAGCAAAGCTGGCTTTCCATTTAGCTCCCGGTAGTTCTTCCTCGTTCTCCAGTATGTTCTCCAGGCTTCTGACGTTCCCCTTGGGAAGCCCCGCCAGTTCCGATCGCGACCTCAGATTAGGTTCGGAAATGTCACGAGGTATAGCTCGGTGCTCTCTTTCGGACGTCATGCCAGAAATGAAAGTCTGCGAGCCTTCGTTGGATTTGTTCCTAGCGATAACGTGAGGAGGATGTGGGATGTCGGTGTTGATCGTTTGTGTACTAGCGGAAATCCTGCCGCAGCTGCTGCACCTGCTCGGAGACGCGTCAGCTTGGAAATCGTCCATGGAACGGGGGGCTAGATTTGCGGGAGGATGCAATCGTCCGTCCGCCGTTGTCCGTAGCGTCGCTAATTCGCTCTCGAAGGAATCGCCGACCTCGGTGGCCGTTGGCAAGTGTTCTCTGCTGGTCGCGATCTCGATGTAACTACGTTCGTCCATCCTGGGGTCATAGTCCTGGTTCGCGTTCCCGTGACAAGGACAAGGGCAGTGGCATTCGCATGGCATTGGGAGTAGTATACGTCTCGGATCCTCCACGCTGCAGGGCGTAGCCGTATTTCCCGCGCATGCAGCAGTGGCGTTATTCGCGATTGCATTCTGACGATCGTACTGTTCGGCGCGCTCGTAGAGGAGTGCCTCGGAATAGCTCGGCACCATGTCGGTCGCTACTTCCGTTTCCCCGCGGCCTCTCCAATTTTCTTGCCTCTGTTCCGGCCCATCGTTGCGAGGCGTTGCTGGTTCCATCAGTAACGCCTCACTGTAACTGGGCGCCAGCATGTAAGAACCTGGCTGACTTAGCTGGCTCATGGACGCGTGGATGGGTTCACCGGAGGTCGGCGTGTCGTAATTCACACCAAACAGCTTGGTAACCTGACGGAGGACCTTGCATTTATTTTCGCAGAATTTATCGCGTGCCTTTATCTTATTTATAAAACAGTAATCCGTTCAAATTTTAATTTATTTAAGATGTTCAAATTTTGATTTAATAAAACGTTCAATACTTATTTATTTATTTTATAATCACAAAATAAAACATCAGTGAATAAAGTATCACTATTTGAATAATAATTTCATAACGAATAAAAGATGAATATAGTAACAAATAAAAAATTATGATATTGAAATAGAAATGTGAAAAATTATGTCTATAAGAATTAATTTAAATAATGATTATATCTAAAGTCTTAAACAAAACGACTGAAATAATAGTTCTTCCTGGAACGAGTATTAACGTCCATTCTAGAAATCTAGATCTTGTCGACAACTTTACCTGATAATCAGCGTATTGCGTTTTGTACTCGATGATTACTCGTAACGGCCAGCTAAGCAGCAGAGCGCTCAGACACCAGTAAACGTAGCGATTCGTGAACCAGGGGTTACCGAGAACGGCAACTAGCATCGTGTTGACGTTGTATCCGAGATCAAGACCCTCTCTCATCTCCATATAGTCGTCACTGAGTTCCTGGTCAAATATACAATAATTTTTTGTTAGCTGCATTCCTGTGTGAAGGGATTAAAACATCTTTCTTTCCCCGCTGCCATTTAAAATATAAAAGACCCAGGCATAGAATAAACAAATCTCTTTTTTACGCAGAAAAATTTCAAAAAAGTGGGGTGTCATTGAAAGTCCTCATAGATAGATCATTATTGGTTAATGAACTGTCGTTACGAATGTATAGTCTCATTGCCAGAGATATTATGAATCAAAGTTCCAGTTAAATTGGTTGTAAGTTGATAGACGAATGTTTCTTTAAGCAAAATGAAACATTGCAGTCGTCTGGTTAACATTGCAGTCACAAGTACAATTTCGAACTTTGAAAATATTCAATCTCGTGTTCACGCATTTGTTCGGCGCGCTTTTTCTCTCCTCTCGCGAAAGTTTTAGTCGAGAAGTTTCCGTTTTCATTTTTGTTTCTATCTCTTCAGTTTTAAACCGGTCTATTGTCGCGTTATCAACATTCCATGTTTTACCGCAAGTGCAATTATGGCGGAAATTGAAGTTGCGTCTTATTACCTCAACAACTACCAACAACAATTGTTCACTCCACTTTTCAACAGATGTAACGTACAACAATAACTCTTTTGACTACATCTATCAATTATACGTTTATTCATCTATCTGCTGCATCCATTCGTTTCATTGTCGGTCAGAAGTAACAGGTCGGAAAGGCATCCATTAGACGGCTATTAGACGTCTATGTTAATAGCCGTCTTTCTGACCTTCTTACTGAGGTCATCCTGTCTATTTTATAGTGATGCCAGATTTGAGATGGGCAACACGCAAATCGTAGTAGAAAAGGTAACGCACACAAGTGAGAATCGTTGTACGTACATACGCGCACATCGCTTAGTTTTTAACTATTGTTTATATAATTAATAATAGCCTTGACGGGCCAGGAACGTTGTGGTTCGTGGGTAACTACAATGTTCGATTTTGCTCAAGGAAACGCGTCCGCCTATCGATTCGGTCAATTTAATTGGACCTTGATCCACGGTATCTCTGAAACTATGCGTCGTAACGTGATAGTTCATTAGCTAATAATGATCTACTTTTAGAGACCTTTCTAATAGTCTCTTTCGTTGGAAAATTTTTCTGCGCAAAAGAGAGATTTTGCTGGACGTCACTCTTTGCTCGTTCATGAGAGATTCCACGTCCGCATTTGTGTAACAACAAAACAACAATGTGATGGCTAACGACAGTTATCGCACACACACACATGCGCACATATATTTCCGTACTTGTTCGGCGAAAAATCGCGACCGTGCCTCCTCGAATTCCGTGGCGGATCTTATATTCGAGAAAGCGAAGCCCTTGGTAAGCGTGATCTTCGTGATCGGTATCTTGGCCTCGAGTATCAATTCTTTACTGATGTCCTTCACTCCGCAATAGTCATAATAGTAGTTGGAGGTGGCCGAGTGTGTGTTCACTCTCTCGTAATAAACCTGCGGGACGAGGGGGTGAGAAGAGGTTCGTTAAGCGCGTCCTTAACCCTTCCGTTATCGCGACATCAATTGCCACTATGTGCTCGCGATGTATAGGCCGCGGAATATTTGCATCTACAATTTTTATCAGACTAGTTTATCCGAGGCCTTTCAAGAGTATTTCGAATTACTGTCTTAAAGTAGAGGATCTATAAAGTCGGATCAATAGAGCTGCGGTTTCTTCAACGCGTGAATGCAGCACGATATGCAATGTGGCAAAGATAATCGATATTTCAAATTTCACTCCAGCTTTTATTATGTTAAAAGTCAACCAAACTATCTGCTAGGCCTGGCTTTAATCAAATTTCGTTGGTATGTTATTTTTCACTTGTCTCTTTCTATTGTTTAGAATGCATTAATTTGTTGCTGGGGATTTGTAAGCTAAGGCAAAACGTCCACACTAATGTATGCATTTATTTTATTGTATTTTAATGAACGAGTGTTTTTGTTATGTTCTTTTAAATTTTAATAAGAACGAATGACTCTCTATATTTAAAAACAATACGAAAGGAGGTGCATAGGGCTGTGAGAGTCAGAACGCGGTTGTTGGTGCGTAAAGTCAAGAGGACTATCTTTAATAAATCATAAAAAGAGATAATTGATATATGTATGTACGTTTCGATTCTTTTCTAAAATTTTGTTTGTTCATAAATTGGCCACAACAACTATTATTTACTTTGCTAAAAATGAGCGATATTTAATTGTTTTGTCTATGACATTTCTTCAAATAGCCGTCTCAATGTTTAAAACGACTTTTTGCGAATATTCTAAAGAGACCCGCGACCGAGGGCACGAAAGGGTTAAAGAGGAAAGCCGATAAAACGCGATGCGATGCGGCGCGTCACCTGTGTGGTGGTATAATTATCCCCGTTCCTGTAACGCGTAATCTGCCGTTTCCTGCGCACGTAGTGGTAGGAAACCGCCTTCCACCATATCCGCGGCTGTGCCATCTTTAACTGCGCCAATTTGGACAGCACGCCGTCCTGGCTCTCCGCATGCAGCAGATCGATCCTGATCGGCGAATGGTAGCACTCCACCAGATAAACCAGATACAGCATCCCCATAAATGCCACCTGTGCGACAAAGAGAGGGAAAGAGGCCGAGATGATGGTGATGAAAGAGCCGAGGGGACGGCGCGACATGCATCCAAGCGTGCGTGCAGAGCGGTGGAAAGATTCAAGCGAGGGGAGTCGATATTACTCTTCGTCGAGTAATTTTTTTTTTTTTAAAGAGGAACAATACAAAGGGTTGATTCGTGACGGGGAGAAGAATCGGGAGAGTCGTTTCCTTTTCTCCACCTTCCTCTAATATCTCTCCCCCAACCCCGCCCATGTACTAGAGTGCATTGTGTATAGCCATACCGGAATGTATATATAGCCATCGTCACAGGGCGATGATACGTGTCTCGTACTTCTGATGGGATACTTGGTGTAGTTGACCATAATCTAGAAATAGAATAGAGAAGGAATTTTCACTTGTGGGATTACAAAGGAGAATTTGCCACGCGCGCAGCATGCAATCATGAATGTTGAGCCCTTCTTTGAGCAATTTTCTAACAATCCGCAAGATTCGAATTGCTTTGAATATTACACGAAACTGGAAATTCTCCACAATCTTGAAAAATCTTTTATATACATTGCAAAACACTTCTGTATATTTTTAATATACAGGGTGTAACAAAAAGGTCGAGACACTCGATTATTTTGGAAACGTGACGTTTTACAAAAACAATTTTTCACACAAAAGTCGTAGGGCTTCAAAGGGTCTATTTACGAACGCTATGGATTTCACCTCGAGATGACTTTGAAAAGCCCAGTCAAGGTCAACATAAAAATCTGAAACGGAAACCCCCATATTTTATGTCATATTCTTGTAGCTGAGAGCCTTCTAAGACACTTTAATAAAATATTTTTTGTTAGGTACCGCTCGAGCTATGAGACTTGAAAGTTACAGTACCGCCAGTATTAGCAATTACCCAAGATGTACTGCGTGGAGGTTGCCCGGTCAAATTTTTGGATAACAAGCATTCAAAATCGTCGTGATTGGGATTACTGAACGTCCCAATGTTTCAGTATATTTAACGACATAAAATCGCGTGACACACAATCGGTCATACCTTGGTGACGTTGGCGCATCTGCACCATGTTACTGCCGCGAGACAGCCGTATATAAGGACCGTCAGCACCAGGCATTTGCAATTCGGTTCTTTTTGCAGCGCGCCGCACAGCGTCTGAGGGACCGGTCGCTGCTAAGAGTGAAAGATTAATGCACGAGGTGGTCGGTTATTTGCGAGCGCATAGCTGAAAACGCGAGAGCGCGCCCATCGAAACTTAAAATCTTCGGCAAGAATAACGTTATGTCCAATGAAAGTTACAAATTTGTTTTGAATAGTTTCTGCGTTGTGTCAAATTGGCGCTATTAATCTTCTACGTACTCTTCTACTATTTATTTAATAACAGTATAGAGCTTTCCAGACGTAGCGTATTTCTGAAATGATTTCTTAAGTATATAAAACTGACGATCTCAAATCTTTTAAATAAACTTCTGAGATCTATTGCGTCATACCGAATTGATAATATTAATTTCTGCAATTATTATAGTATTATAGCAATAAACCATAATAGTTTAAAGATTTTTTTTACAAAATGAAACGCATACAACAATGGTCTTCTTCTCAAATTCGATTGAGCGCGAAAATATTTCTTAAGGGTACTTTTAATTATTTCTACATTCAAATACGTCACTTTTCGACTTGAGTGCAACGTGTCCCAAATTATTTCTAGCGTTAACAATTGGAGACAAATTCTTCGTCAACGGGACTAACATGATTGCAATAAATTTCGTACGACAAACACTCCGAGTCGATCATAAGAAAAGAGAAAGAAAGAAGAAGAGAAGAAGAAAGAGAAGCGCCGGAGGGTGCGAACGGATGCTCTCGCGTTTACCAACGTACTTCCTCGTTTTCTCGATTCATGTCGATGACGATGCCACCGAGGCCCACCCTCGAACTGGACGATTATCGGACGTTAGGGAGCAAATTGCGTCATTTCACTGCCGTATCTACCACCCTTCCTCTCGCCTCTCGCCGAAATGCGGAATTCCTCCTACGATCCTGCGGGTATCACGACAACAATGCAAATCTTTTATTCCTTCCTCATTGAAAACGTTATGTCGGGTTTACGTCACGCGAGAAAACGCGCGGAACACCGTGATATTGCGTCATGGATTCATACGAGTGAGCTCACTATCCGATGCACAAATTGCCCGCTCGGAAATTATTTATGCCAGCATTTCGGTATTCAATAAAATATAGATTTATACTGCTTTATTGCAGTATACCATGCGACTTTGTTACGGTTAGAAGTAAAAATGAAGCATCTAACTCTCCTTCTTTTACTAATATAACGCTTGATCGTATTAAAAAAATTTTGTTTATTATAAACAATGTAAGCATTGACACACTAACTTTTACATTTATGTCTACAGGTTTGCTCCGTGTTAGACATCTTAAATCGTAATGCACTGGAGACCAAATAACGGACTATTGTATTCACGCTATCAATCGTCGAATAGTGAGTTTACACATTTCTATAATATTGATTTATTATATTTGTAGATTAAAAATTTTATGCTGACTATTGTTCGGCCATTTTTGCTACTGTTTCTTTGAATAGCCATAGCACAGATTGATGTGAGCTCCAGCGTTGTTAGAATATTAAGAATTTTCTGCTGTTTGTAAAAAGATTATAATTGGTGAGAATTTTCCCTTTCGTTTCTTTCATTAACTGCGTTGCCGAAGATGATCAAGTTAGCTGAAACGTACAGTCTTTGTAATGATTGATGAATAAACTTGAAGTTTTGAAAACCTACAATAATAATATTTTTTTAATGACTCGTGAGTTGGCCGTTTATTTATTCGTGGGTGCGTGTGTGTATTCTGTTTGTTCGTTTGTCCTCGATTATCTGTCTTAATATTTTATATAAATTTTGTAAAATAAGAATATATATTTCTTTGCAGTTAATAAATGTCCTTTTCGTTTCCAAAGTTCAAGTTTTTTTATCATAGGAATGCGCAACATGTAGCTCGCAGCATTGTACTCGCTCTGGGCGCAACGCAGACTAGTTACGGCGCTCTCTAATTGTAAGGGAGGTTTCGAGTCTCAGTGACGTCTATCAGAGGTTTTTGTTCTATGTGGAAGTCCATTAATTCAAATTCATTACATTGTAATATTGCTATGTTTCGTTGCAGTCTTCCTAGAGGCGGACATTTTAACGTTGCTGCAATTCCACAGTAACGACACAATAACATTTCGCGGTGAATTTGAGATACTACAACATCGCGGTAAAAAACAAAATTCCTGCAATGTATAGGCAATCTTTGTGTGCCGTGTATGGGTATCGATGTTTTGGGCAGGAAATTACAGTGACAGTTACGCGGTAGCCACATGTTCGCGCGATTTGCGTAATTTATGTAAAGATTGCAAAATCAATTGCCCGCCTATACGGGCTTAGCTATGACGCGGGCGCACGTGTCAGTACGAAATTAATCCAGTTTCGACGTGCGCCTATGTGCGTTTACGTATTCGATCCGCACGCGGTATATCCTGTGAGAAGCCACCCGCGACGATATGAACGCGCGAAAATCTTGAGTGGCACGCAACGCGATCGGTATTGCATTGGTACACGTCAGTTTAGTACCCGTTTCGTCATGTTTCGTGTATCCTATATGATATTCTGGCTTAAAAAACGGACAAGGAACCCTTACGGAAAAAACAACACTCAAGTTTTGAGTGTTAACACTCGATTGTCCGAATTTACTCTCAAATTTGGGCGTAAACACCCAGAGTTAAATATTTACACTCCAATTTGAGAGTAAATTCGGACAATCGAGTGTTAGCACTCAAAACTTGAGTGTTTTTTCCGCAAGGGAGGTGGATGTGAAAGAAGAGGATCTTGAACGACTTACAGTAATTAGATTAATCTTCTACTACCCACAATGTCTAATATAATTATCTGTGACCTAACTATATCCTAGCTATATCTATAATATTTCACTATCTATTTGTATTGAACTATTGTATCATCCCTAGGTGTACACACTTCGTTTCATACACACTGGATTTGTGAGACCCGACTAAACTGTCAAATGTTGTAGTTTTCGCAAAATTAAATACTCGGCAAACACGAATTAACAGTTATATCAATACAATTTCCTCGAACAATAACTGTTATGTACGTGTATTATGTATTATATTACATTTGTATTGTCGAGTGAGAAATCGTAATATTGATTATTAATTATAAAATATAGTTAGCTGTTTACTGGATAATATAACAGTAAGAAAATATAACATTCAGTATTATACATTCTTACATGTTAAGAATATCTCGTAAAAATATCTGCTAAGAATCTCCTCTTCAGAGAGGATTTCTCTCTTAAGAGGATCCTAGAAAGCGCACTGAATTCGCAAAGTATTCTTTTTAAGTTTTCTCTTCTCTGAGTTGTAATTCAGTAGGAATTTATGGAAGCGTACAATAAGAATGGCCGAGCAAGTTATACACGCATATAATTCATATTCTCAAAGTATTCATTTCGAATTCGATAGATGTATCTCGTTAAAAAACTTTTTATACATAATTATGTAAATTGTATATAATTATATATTTATGTACAAAAATACTCAAGAGAGATAAGAAAAACTGCAGTAAATCTTGTACAAGCTTGCCCAGCTTTTCTGTCGTTACAAAATACTTGCCAGATCATTCAGTTGATCCGTGATGACTCGCTGTCGGATCAAATCTCTCGCTCGGTGTATCATTTTATCATCGTTACTCATCGCATGTTAAATAAGAATCGTTCCCGAACTCGACCTAAAGGCCGAATCAGACTAGCAATTGTCGACGCGGATGGGACTGGGATGGGCGATTGGCGATTGTCTTCTAGCCGATGACAGTGAAGCAGCCAGCGAGTTAATCAACTGTCATTGGCTAGAAGACAATCGTCAATTGCCAGTCCCAGTCCCATCCGCGTCGACAATTGCTAGTCTGATTCGGCCTTTAGGTCGAGTTCGGGAACGATTCTTATTTAACATGCGATGAGTAACGATGATAAAATGATACACCGGGACACTCGGATGTTTCCGAGCGCAGCCTTGCTTCTACTAACGCGGGATGATTTTTAAATGCGAGAAAGTCTAACGCGCGGCCGCAGCAGTGACTTACACAATTTTGCAAGATAAACTTCGTGTTTTCTCCCTTTTTGGATTGTGAGTCTTTATATCATGGACTTCTGAGGAATGCTTCAAGATGAACCGATTGTGGCTGATCCTTCAAGAACTTTTCAGACATTCAGTTTTCTAATTCTGCAGCTATTTCTTTAAAATGAATTCTCTATGAACTGATATTCTCCTTTGTGCTATCTGGGCTTGACGCTTGTTTTAGAGGAAGAGTGTAAAAGTGAAATATTTTTTAAAATAAGAATACAATTTCTTTTGGTGTAGGACGTAGCTGCGAGCATCGCTCGCGGCTGAGAGAGAACAATCGTCCGATTTTCCATTGTTGATTATCCAAGTAGTTCGTAAACGCGAGCTTTACGCTCGGACGAACAAAATTCAACGCGGATGCGTTGATCATTTCAACGCTTTTTTTTTTAACAAATACCCGTTTTACAAAATGTCCCATTTTGCAAGTCTGAGATTACACGAAGCGCTTAGTTGAAGAAGAAATACTTGCACAAAAGGAAACAAGGAAAAGTGCACATCACGCAATTATCACGCGAATTTCGCGAGTTTCGTAGACTTTTGTTTACGTCTACCATATACGCGATTCTCGTTTTTTACTCTACTTTACCGCCACTTCGGTGGACATCTGGACGATACCCGCCGCATCCTTGCGTCGCGCTTCACGCGACCCCGTGGATCGCAATTCCCTCGTCGCACGCTGGCGGATTTATTTGTACATTCGGGGGGAAAAGGGAGGAAGTTTACGTGCGGGACTCGCGTGCCGAGATCGACGGTGAAGCAACGGTGGTGGCGGCGGCGGAACGGAAAGTACCGAGTGCGGCGATGTGCCTCGCGCCCTCGCGATCACGCGCCCCCGACGACACCCCTGCGTAGCAGAGCGTCACCGCAAGACATGGGTGTGGATCCACTCCCAGAGAACGTGTCGCGATCACTACCGCCCGCTCCACCGTCCACCGTACAGAGCATCCCCGCGACGGCGCCCCGACTGACGGACGGGGGTAGTCGACGCTCGGCCTCGGCGTCGGCGTCCGCGTCCGCGTCCGCGTCGGCGTCGGCAGGGGCTGCCGTCTCTACCCGCCTCGCGTCGCAACGCGTCGCGTCGCGTCGATGCCCGCCCGCGTCGTTTGCCTTTCATCGCGATCCTTGCTCGCCGGTAATCGGCGATGCCGCGCGCATGAACGAGCAATGCCATAAACGCCTCGAGCGGCTGACTCTCACCCCCGATAGCGCTTAATGAGGGTGTTTAGGAAGACCAGCGATGACGACGGGGAATATCGAATGCCGTGACATTCCTTTGGGCGGAGCTTGAATTATGCGAACCATGTCGAGACTTTAAGCCTTTCGTCACTCGAACATCCGGTTACTTAATCATCTGCCGTAGAGTATTTCCTGTAAATAAAAAAAACAGAGTAATTCCTGTAAAATTTGGATTTCGATTTTTTTTGTTACCGTATAGGTCGAGGTATAGGTAGTGCAAAATTGAAGAATTTAAAAAGAAATTTTTGTTTTAAAATGCTTCGTTAATTAACAATTTGAAGAGTGATTATACTATATTTGTAACTTTTTCCTGTTAAAATTCGAAAAAAATGTTTCTTTTCAATTTTCAGAATAGTACAACTCTTTTGTTTGTTGTTGTTCCCTTAAATGGGGGTAAAATTTTGTGAATCACCCTGTATAATGTGTCTTATACAATAAAATACAATATATTAATATCTGTTACATCAATAAATTAGATAATAAATGTGTAAAGCTTTCACAAAACTAACGTGGCGTTAGTAAAATGTTAAAGTTATAATCAATGTTTTTCACAAGTACAAGCATATTTGTTTTATAAGATATGCATATAGAAAAGTTATAATGTATTTAAAATCTCTAGTTTTTTTCCCAACAAATATTTCTAATTTTTTGAGAAAGTCTTTTATTTCAACTTTTCCAAATGTTTGGAGAAAAAATGCTTTTTAATAATTTCTATTTATTTTCTTAATTTCTTTAAATTCTTATTGAAGGAAACGAAGATTTTTGTTACAACCCAAATCCTTATCGTTTACAGATTGAAGAAATGTGTTACGATAAATTTACAAGTTATAACTTGTAGTTAAATTTGGCTTGTACGTGGCAATAATGGTTTCATGTGATGACGATGTAGTTTTAAATTGAATTTTAAATTATATTTCAACGTCCTTAATTCATATATGCACAAAAATTGCACCAACAACTATGATTTTTCAAGGAGAAACATTTTCTTGGAATATTCGATCAAACAAATTTACCGTCACAGCCAGGCTTGCGACGCGAACCTTGTTAGTGACAGTGTTCATTCATAAGCATTAAATACGATAACATCCACACTCATATATATAGATATATAGATTAATAAATTGCATGGGCGTGGATCCACTCAAATTAAACTGTTAAAGTGGAACCAGTCATCGATTTGCTGATACAAATTTTCCTATCATTTTCCAAGTAATTAAGTAGCTTGTTTGAATAATATTAATAATTGCAATGTCTTTTACTTTCTTGTTAATTTATATACATCTGATATATTTTAGAAAAATGCAACGATACTGTATTAATGTTTCATTATTTTATAATATCGTCATAATATTTCAACTAATGTCTTTAAAGGATACACGTAATTAACTTTTAACAATTATCAGATTAATCTTGCAATAACGTTAAATTAATTAATGATATTTCTTATTATTATTACAAACTTCAATTCTACGAAACATATCTCACAGTCAACTTAAATTAATTGTAAGTCGTGAACGTGATCTTATACAATTTACTCACACATATTCAAGATTGATCAAATTGATTAAAATTGCAGCGTTCTCGCTAGCAAACTTGGGTTCTCAAACTTCTTGACGCAAGTCACTTTTAGTTCGATTCTATCGCCGAAAGTTGATTCGTGAAACTTTAGGAATGTGTCGTGAACGATTTGAACAAAAATGTTTTCCAAAGAACGACAGCTACGTGTGTTTGGCTTCTTACAGTTTTGTTTCCACAGAATCAATAGATGTACGAGTGTACGATTTCCTTAAGTGATAAGGCGTAAAAATATCGTTAATATTGTTCGAGTTATCTTGGCGTTTTACTAAGGCAGTCGCCAATTGCGAGAAACTCATAGCTACGCGGGATGAAAGCGCGTTTTGGCGCCGTCTTGACGGCTATCTATTGATTGCAATTTGAGATGATGGGTCGAGAGAACAAAAGCGCATATATTTCAAAATATCTGGACAAAAGTAAACAGAAAGGACGTAGTACAAAAAATAGCTAAATTTGTTAACAATGGGAGACGTTAAATAATCATCAGAGAGTTGTTGAAATTATTAGTACTCACTTCAATTATTATATTAAACACAAGAAATTACGTTTGCTGAAGGAATTTCATTTACCCCATTTATCACTTCACTCTATTTTCGTAAGAATCGGAAGACAATTGCTTTCTTAATTGACGTTGGATTCTCCACGGTTAAAGTATGAAAAATAAACTGAGAGTACGTCAAAGTATCTTCCTTTCTATTTTATATTCAGTGTTTAATGTTACACGATTTCTAACTACATCAAGAACTCCACAGTTAAAGTATGAAAAATAAACTGAGAGTACGTCCAAGTATCTTCCGTTCTATTTTATATTCAGCGTTTAATTACACGATTTCTGACTACGTCAAGAACGATAAACAAGGAAGGACGATGGATAACAATTTCTGAGAGAATATATTAAAATAGATTCTTAACTCCCGAAGTCACACGGATGTTTAATCTTGTGGAAGCGAAGCTTAGTAAAATTATATTTTTACGTATTCACATTTTACAGAGAAATCTCCACTCGCATTATCCGATTGCGAAATTCTCTCGCGATGGACTTGCACGCAAGACTTTATTAATAACAATAAATAATGACGTACGTATGGTTTAAACAGACAGATCCCCTTTAATATTATTTATGAAAGCCTCGTGGGATCTAGGAAGCTGCTCTGGCACCCTTTAAACGATTTGACCTTATTTTTTCAGGGCAATCAATAGGCGAGGGTTCTACTAATAAATACTTAGCCAGATCGATAAGTGAACAAGATCAACAAAGTGTCGTTTAAATTTGCAACGAAATATATGTTTATACATATATGTATACGTTGATGTATTTGTCAGACATGCGCGTGCATAATGCTCCGAATTTTTTGCTTTATACCCACGCAAATTTTTTCCCTCAACTTCCGCAAAAAGATGCTTCATTTTTGTTATATAGATTTACCTGCGTAAAAATAATCGCGAAAAGAGCAATGTACACATAAAATTTGTCCAATTTGATATTTTTGGAATCCAGCCAGATCCGCATTCTGTCTATAGATCAACAATAATGCCGTATACTCAACATACACCTATATGTGTACATGATACATATGTATACCGATTGATTTTGAGGATATTTATATACAACGATAGAGTGTGCAGACAAATTTGCTTAGAACCTCGTGTCCTTTGATATCTTCAAATAATTAAGGCAAACAAAGCGAAAGGATTTCTGTACGGAGATTATTTGAATTTCCACGCATGTGCCTGTAAATTTATACAAATGAAATATATGTACATATGTCGTTACTCACACAATATCGTAAAAGTTCCGGAATCAGATATCAAGCTATTGATATATATAGTTTTTCGAAATATTTTTGGCGGACAATAAAAGGAGCCAAAAAGAGATAGGGCACCTTTTTGCCCTAGAGCCAGGAAGCCAGCTCTAATGGCGGATGAATATAGAAGAATCAACGACGCAGAAGGCAACTAGAAATCACTGCAATAAGGACCCAAATTGGGTATCTCAAGACTCACCATCGTGATTTTGCTTGGAACTAAATATTTCGGAGTTTCAAGTCCCCCAGTCAGATCTCCGGGGGGAGTGGGGTTGTGAACAAACTTGTGAGGCGGAAGAAAAGTATAAAAATATGTCTACAGTTCTATATATTCAATCTATCGTTCTAAATAATACAAAGTCAGAACGATTAATTGATTCACTTACCTATCTCATCTGACTTTCATATCCATCTGAGAAGTTTGGACATGAACCATAGGTTATGTACCGTTACCGAGTGAACGAATGTAGTTGACATCCACTTTGTCAGGGGGCGCATCTGTTTCTGAGCCAGTAGACTTCCGGTGGGCGCTCTCAGGTTTCTTTCTGCTATAAGTTTCCCGTCTTAATAGATATATTGGGTGCTTACGAAGAAGCGCTCGGAGTTAGGTTTGGGTCGGACATGCGTACGCCTCTCAATGATTCATGTATTTCATGTCTTGCCCGAACTGTCTCTAATAGCAACCCGGGTTACTCGGGTTACTCGGGTCTCAATCGGCCTGCCCAAACCCGAGTAACCCGGGTTGCTATTAG